CCGAGTATTGATGCGCTGTCTCCATAAAACTCTATCCGCCATAAGTCCGCCCATTTTCTCCAGTGTCGTTGAGACCCGTGTCAGCTCGTAGGCTATCAACATAAGTCATGGCTGGTCTTAATAAGCAAACCTTTATGTACACTGTCAAAGGCTTTATTAAATCTATAAACACCATAGTGCCTTCACACTCATGGCCTTTAGACCCTATATAATTCTTCACAGAACAAGAATGTGCGAAGTTGTAGAGCAACCAGGTCTGAAGCCATTCTGGTTGTCTCTTAGTTCTTCTTCAAGTCTTTGCTTCATCCTGCTCAGCATTTTGATTAGAGTTTTACTTTTTGTTTCTGATTTCTAGAAAATCATAAGACGTGGCACTTGTAGCACTCTTTTGCAATAACTACCTACAATGATATCCATTACCCATGACATGTATAGTTTCTTTTAGGGGGTTATAGAGGTGTCATGATTTTAGCATCCACAAGCAATATATAGGTGATCTGGAACTCAATCTTATCAATACTCCTACATGATTTTATGAAGTGATTGTTGCAGTGAATGAATTTAATATATATTGTGTTAAATTCCTATTTTGGACTCTTAAACTCTTTAATTTTATATGTTATTGGATTGAACCAAGTAACATGTTACTCTAGCGAGATCTCCATCCAAAAAGATTAGTCTGCGGGAGCTGTTTTTATTACTTTACTATACATCTTCGGAGGGTAGGTAACATTTCTACTACATTTAAGCTCTTCCTATAGACCTGCCTCTTGATCTTCTTCCTATTTTTGGGGTTGTCATTCAAGTAGACAGTTGGGTAACCGATCTTCAGGCATTCTACGGACAAGTCCAAAGCAATGCACTATTTTGTTGTAAGTATCGTTCAGTAAGGGAAGTTATTATGCCCTTCTTAAAACATCCCTTGACCAAGAGGAAGATTAAGTGTGTGTGTAATGTCACCAGACAGTAACCACCAACTCTATTCAAAGATTCAAGATCCACTTGTCACAGAAAAATATTCGAAGAGATTCTTTCAGATATTATAGTATATAGTACATTAAAAATTCAAGGTGTTATATTATTATAACCTGATCTTGCCCCTCCGGGGTCCCATCATAAGCACATTCAACTTAATCTTATCTTTACCTAGATGTTACCTGAAATCGCAGAACTGGTTGGACAATGGACATCAAGACTACTGTCACAGCCTGGTGACCTAGAGCTAAATGAGCTACTGTTTCCTGTGTAGACCCCCAGATGCTGGACAGCTAGGATGTTCCTCGCCTTGTGAGTAACTTCAAGATCAGTGTTATGGATTTAATGAAATAAGGCCAGAGGGGGGCGGGGGGGGGGGGGGGGGGGGGGGGGGGGGGGGGGGGAAGGATCAAAATTTTCGACCTAAATTTATTCTCTAAACAAAGTCACATTCATTATTCAATTGGTGTCTTAATTATGGATATACTGGACCTGATAATGTGATGTAAGATGACGTGATAATACAGAATAACATGAAAGCCTTCATTCAATTAACCTCATTTTCACGATAGGACTATAAACTTCCAAAATTAGGGGATGGGCAGGTCAAATCATAGTCCTAACTTCAGGATATATATAGGCATTCAATAACTATGATATATTGACTTGAAATTGAATATTATCACAGGGAAAATATAATGACAATTCTTGTTGACACTGAGCACTAAACTAATGACAGCTAAGTAAAGATTCAGTTCAAGCCATCTAAAGCGACTCATGAATATTGAATATGTACATTAGAACTTATTTTATGAAGTTTGGGTTTTATGATAAAGTTATTATATGCTACTTATATGAATGCTTTTTCAAAGAGATGCGTATTTATTCTCTTTTTAAACAAGACGATATCGGTTAATGTTCTCAATTGCTAAGGAAGCTGATTCCAAACAAAGGGTCCACAGTAACTAAAGCTTCTCTCAGTTTACTATAATTGAAACAGTAGGAACATTTAGGAGGAAATAGTCTTGTTCAGTCCGTAGTACACGTACAGGTTGACTCTTAATGTTGATGCATTTGGTGATATAATTTTGAGCTACGTTGTTGGTCACACATTTGAACACGGTTAGAGCAATCTTATACTCTATTTGTTGTCTTATTGGAAGAAAATGGGCTTTTTTCAGGAATGAGTGACACTGTGAGCACAATGTTATGTTATGATTACCCTTGTCAGTTTTAGTTTTACAATGATATTTCAATTCCTTGTTTCTGTTGTAAAAGAAAGCACACAAATGACCTTACTTGAATATTCCAGCTGACACTGTTCTTAACGTATATAATAATCAGTTCTGCTAGGATACAACCTGATTAGTTTTCCTATTTTAAAAAAATCATATAGTTAATCCATAGAGTTGTGTCAAATGATATTGAATCTCCGAAAAGAGTGACAGAGGTTAAGCTCGTTAGGTTTTTGGTCATTAAATGTTTAGGCAGTAATTTTTGATTAATTGTTCTAATTCTCGTGCAGTGCCCTCGAATCATTGATAAACAACGTAAACTCAATTTACATAAACCAATATTTCTGGTGGTACTATATCCGCCGAAATTCCCTTCCTCAGGAACGAAAAATCTATTATAGCCATAAATTAAGTCAAACAATTGCCTAAAATTGTTGTAAACTAAATTCATGGGAGGACTTATTTTAAAGGAGACTAAGATTTCAGCAGAGCATATACATGATATATGATTTAACGAATTTAAGTATCGTTAAATTTATACAAGTCGCTACTGCGTGTTATAGGGTAAATGTATGTGATGCTATGTAATTGATGTATGTAATGTTGACTCGTCTTTAAATAATTTCCCAGATCGAAAATATTTTAGTCAAAAAAAGCTAGCTGAATAAATTTAAAAAAATTAAATGATATGGAAAAAATGGTCTTAAAAAATACGACCTAATATTGTTGTTGACTGAAATTAACAAAAGTTTGTGACTTATATTATGGTAACCATAATATTTATGGGAACCAAAGTTATTGTGAACCAAATTTTTTCAGGCATGGTGGGCTGAACATGGAGCTACCGAAAGCTGCGAATCATTAGAAATAAACTCACAAATGCAGCAGACAGACAGAAGCATTAGTTTGAGTTAAGTTGTAAAGCTTCTTTAAACTTTTCATCACAAAGAGAAATTTGTGTTAAATAGTAGTGGTAAATTTAAAGGGCGTGTTGGTAGACCTAATACAAACTTATATCAAATATGCTTGTTGATGACCTTAAATATAGAAACTTAGAACTTAGAAATTTGAGTGATTTAAATGAAATAAGGGATATTGCTAGCTGTAGGAAGGTGTTGGAAACTGTTGTACTAGGCACAGATTACGTAGTTAAGATGTTTTCTTAATGGAGTTCTATTAACTATGTATGATCCTGTTTTATAATAAGATTATTTGTATAGAGTCGTATATAATAATGTTTCTTCTTAGACTGCCAGAGAGCACAGAAGATGGCTACTAGACAGCTAAAATCGATACTTTACGAGCCACCAGGGGATGCCTTTTTTCGATGGATAAAGTAAGTGCACCGACTTTTGACGCTTAAAAAAGTAAAAAGGACTTTTCACAGAGATATTTTGGTACCATCTTATGATGGCCTCTCATATGTATCTTTCGCCTTTCGGATCAATTTATTCCGGTCAACAAAGTTTCCTACTCCAGGCCATTAAATTGCTCCGTCAAAAACGCTATTATACCGGAGTTTTATTATAGTCAGGAGTTGGACGTTTTTCTGTACGCTTAGCTTGTCAATCTATGGTGTAGTTACCGTATAATATAAATGCTGTGAACACATTTTTCACTTGCTCGTTGACGAGGGTCACGTGATGGTAGGCGAATTTGTCAAGTTTATACGACTATTGTAATTGTACAATAAAATATTTATATTTTTGTATCCTTGTATCCGTGACCTCTGACAGGACACCGGTCATCTCGCCCAATTTTCCCGGGAGAATCAGATCTCATGTCAACTAGCGCGTGATCATCCCGGCCTGGGTGGTCCACTTGTAATGTTGTCAAACGGGAACCTCGGCCTCGCACATCTGGTAGTGAAGTACTGATTACAGCTGCAGGTCCTCCAAATTCACGAAGTCCAACAAGTCCTTGTATGAGCCATCAGTGTAAATCACGGTACTTTTCTAATCATAATCGCTTAGCTTGGCATCATTCAATGGACATTTGTTGTTCAAAAGAAGAAAAGTCAAAAATGAGAGTGAACGGTGACTGCTTATTGCATAAGCTCTTAAATCTGCTAACCGTACATAGCTCACGCAGCTGTCTACAGTTGCTGGGCTCGTTCCGGTCAGAAATTTAAAGTTTACTGCGGCGTGGGGCTACATCGTCGTTCTGCTGTCGTGTACATTTAAGAATGTGGTGTGGAAAGAGTTCTGACTTTTCCTGGAGTAAAGATATATGTCGGCCGTCTTTGTCACGGAGAAGTCTTTAAAGCTTTAAAGCTCTGAGCTTGACCTATTAAAAGACAAAAGATACATTTGCACGTCACGAGTAATGTGACCTACTGAAAAAAAAATCGGGCAATTTGAAAATTTAGTCAAGTTCACACATGCACAATCAACCCCTCATTGGTGTGATCCTCTGATCCGGGAAATCGAGATGTCCTCTCACAAACAACAGTTATTAGTAACAAGCATAACACGATTTTCCAATCTATTAACGAAGTTTGAGCATTTTAGGGTCAAAGCAGAGACTTGGGTCGATGTGATCGGCTTAAAAATAACAAATTTGGGGTATCTTTATTTTACATCTTGGTCGAGACCTGTCACCAGCAATATGATTTCATGTTGCCTTATTCAGGCGGGCGAAACTCACGTTACATGCGATCTGATCATCTGACTCTCACGATCGAGATCGTAGCTTTAACTCACCAGCTCCAACACGGTTTTTTAGACTTTTTTCGGTTTTTCGAGCTGCCCTTCTCCCTGAGGCCACGATTGAAAAACATACAATATATTATATCTTTATTCTTTATATGTTACATGCATTCCCCTGCAGTAGTGAAAAGTAAATTGTTTGTTTTATTTCAGTGTCGACAGCTCAAACTATGGTGGTATCTTATCGCTACAATGCTGCTAACTAGACTCTTGGATGAAGTTAAGTTGTTTTAGTCAGATGATCTACTTTTTGGCGTTTCCTACTGCCCTAGTTATAGTAGTTCAAGGTTTAACTGTAAATATAGTGTTAAGTAGGTTTCAATACTTCCCTGCCACCTTTTCAGACATTGCAGAGATGTGTGACCGCACAATTCTCAAACCGAAGAATCAAAAGGAGTTATTGATTTATCGGTATATAAAGTATGTATGCTTTATCAAACAAAGCCACTAGGTAAGCAAATTCAAATATTTTGACAGTTCATACTGCGGTTATACATTGCAGCCAATGCGCAGCAAACAAGAGCTTGCCACTGCTATAAGCATTCGTATTCGTAGCTTGTTTGAATCTCAAATTTATTCGAATTATCATAAGTAGCCGGAAGCCCGTCCTGCGGACGGAGTTCTTCAGCACAAAATCGATTCTCAAACATTTTAAATCTACCCTTTCTCATTTCTACTTCTTTTCCTTTCACAATTTTCATGTTTTTAAAAAACTTCTTACCCCTATCCATGTCACCTATGATTCATGCATTTCTAGCTTCTCGGACAGTGCTGTCTTTTCCCTCATTGGCAAATCCTGAAAGTTTTATGAAAAATATAGATCAGAGTTATGTTTGTTCTGCACGTCTGCATTTCAGGTATTCGTGACACAGTTTACGTGTGATGACGTGGGCATCTCTCAACACACTTTGCAGCATGAGCGACGGTGCCGTGGCGGGATATCTGGAAATGTAGCCTTGAGCTCAGTTTATTTTTCTCCGTCACCTCACCCGGGGAGGGGGGGGGGGGAGCCAATGACTTTGGGTACTTTGGGGACAAGTGCAGAATTTCGCCAGCAATTTAACCTCAAGTCTCCAAGATTTTTAGCCCCCATTGGTACCCAAAAGTCTCCTTTAGAAGTCATTTAATAAAAGATAATATCAAAACTACATAAAACTCGCCAAAACTTTGGGTACTTATGGGGACAAATGGAAAATTTCACCAGCGATTTGACCTTCAGTCCCTATGATTTTCGTCCCCATTGGTGCTCAAAAGTCTCCATCAGTAGTCATTGCCCCCCCCCCCTCATCCTGTGTCGGCTGTATTCAATTCTGATTGTACCACGGTTAAAAAATGCCAGTTAAATGTACCAACTCTCGTTTTATTTATTGTACCGACTCTCGCTCTTCGACCACGCTTTTCGTCTACTTGGCGTAGGGCGCGGTAATATTTCATGTAATCACGCACACACGTATCGCGCGCGATGTAGAAATAAGTGCAGCGCACATGGTCTTGTGGGTGACCCCCGTAATCCATGTGGTGGGGCAGGAGGGTCAAGCACTGTTTTTGTGGGTGACCCCCGTAATCCATGTGGTGGGGCAGGAGGGTCAAGCACTGTTTTTTCTGAAATGAACCTCCTGATCCATGTGGTGGGGCAGGAGGGTCAAGCACTGTTTCTGAAATGAACCTCCTGATCCATGCGGTGGGGCAGGAGGGTCAAGCAATGTTCTTTTCAGGTTGACCCTCCTGCGCCATTATACGAACAGCTCTCTATGCTGGATAAGCTTCGAAAGTATTTTGAAGAGGTTCGGGGTGCCATACTTGCGACATTACCTGAACTTTACACCATATTTCAAGCCAAACTTTCACATTCAGACGATCTAGATCGCGATCAAGAATGTTACATTCCCATTGGCCACAACTTCCTGCTAACAGTAGGGGCTGTCTCACTATAATTACGGAAGGTATCTGTCATCTGACAGATGGGTATAGGACGCAGCGGCCGAAGTCACTGCGGCGGTGGACGGTACAGCGGAGGACGGTACAGCGGAGGACGGTACGGCGGTAGTTTCCAAAAAGGTTGTACGGTGCGGCGGATCACATGACACCCACTTTACTTTGGACAGTACGGCGGTACTACTACTACTGTCTTAGGTACAGTTTCTACCGTCCACCGCCGCAGTGACCGGTTCCCGTCAGATCTCAATGATAGTTACATTAACGAAGGCTTCAAGATCCAGAAGAAGCGGAAGTCCGACGGCTGTCAGACAACAGGAAAAAGTAAACCAATTAAGAAGGGTAAAGCTAAAGTCTGACTGATGACTTCCTACGAACAAACCTTAAATACCCTCACCCTCTACTATACAGAGAGTTAACCTCGTTTACAATAGTTTTTAGTAATGTCTCCTCCATCCGAAAGTGCAATTGTTAGTGTCGGCGGGATTAACCTCTCGTCCAGCTGAAGACGATTTACACATGTATTTGAAAGCTCCTGCTAATACAATCTTTTCGTATCACTAATCACTTATATGTTTTAAATAATCCCCCTCCAGACCTCTCGTCCCGTTTCATCTTGAAGGAGATGTCCATCCGGAGTGATAGTGCACCACCAGATATTCAGGGAAAAGAGGTAGATCGTTGAATTTATCGTGATCAATAGTCTTCCTCCGACTGTTTCCTCCGACAGCAGCTCCGTCTTCTTCTGCTTTAAACTTCCTACTGGGTATTCTCGCTATTTTACTTCATCTAGCAATGATAGTTACATTAACGAAGGCTTCAAGATCCAGATTCCAGAAGAAGCGGAAGTCCGACGGCTGTCAGACAACAGGAAAAAGTAAACCAATTAAGAAGGGTAAAGCTAAAGTCTGACTGATGACTTCCTACGAACAAACCTTAAATACCCTCACCCTCTACTATACAGAGAGTTAACCTCGTTTACAATAGTTTTTAGTAATGTCTCCTCCATCCGAAAGTGCAATTGTTAGTGTCGGCGGGATTAACCTCTCGTCCAGCTGAAGACGATTTACACATGTATTTTGAAAGCTCCTGCCGATACAATCTTTTCGTATCATTAATCACTTATATGTTTTAAATAATCCCCCTCCAGACCTCTCGTCCCGTTTCATCTTGAATGAGATGTCCATCCGGATTGATAGTGATGAATCATATCGGCATTTCATCTTCAACAGACCTGCTAATCTAATGATGACTGTATCCGACAAGAAGACGGAAGATTACGCAAAGAGTGCTCGGAGCAGCAGGCATTGATGACTTTGCAGCTGGTTCTCCAGACTATACTACTCTCATATTGGCATCCTTTATTCCCTGGAAAACATCAAAATATTTTGCGCTGGACACGTCGCCTACAAATTCCTTTCAACGATCCTTCTCTATGCGGACATTTATGACATCCAGGAGATCTCCTGCCACACTTCCCCAAACAGCTCCCGTCAGCATGGTGCGGCATCTTACATAACCCCCGATATTGCAGCCTGGCAAACTTTTGGAACATTGTCATTTGTCAACTTTATAAATATACACAATGTACTAGAGTCAGAGACTGATATGTGATATTTTTTTTAGTTGCCGTTATTATTTATGATGTTATATTTTTGATTTTCAATTATCTTAAAATTTGTATTCTTGTTACACAATAAAACAACAATGCCTAGAACCGTTTTTAAAAGAAACAGTTTAGAAATTTCCTAGTTAACTCCCTTATGCAAATAATCTGAATTAAAATCTCGAAATATGTTAAATAAATTCCACGGGAATAATTAAAGGTAAATGCGAATAGTTGCGAATATTTTATCTAAAGATCTAATAAATTAATTCCACAGGAATAACCAAAAGCAAATGTGAACGACTTATCTAACACAATCGTAGGCATAACAAGTTCTAGTCCAACCAGGTTATCTGAGAAAATGCAAAACCTCTTGAATCCATGTTTACTAGTCTGAAAACGATGCTGCCTGCCGTTCCGTATCAAACTCTGATGTAGACTCCTGTCGTTTTCGGGTGTTAAATTCAATGTATTTCCTTAACCAAACAGACTGCTTGAATTCTAAAACTCTGTGGATCTTGTCAAAAACACGACCAATTTAAATATAATACTGCAGTGCTGCTACATGAATCTTGTGCTTAATCTTAGAAAAAAGGTTTGGAGCAAGCTTCTCAGAAGGAGCAACGGAGTTTACCCCTGTCCTCTCCATTGCCTTGTAAATTGCATCTGATACCATACTATCCTGATTCCTGCACCACCAGATATTCTGGGAATAGAGGTAGATCGTTGGATTTATCGTAATCAATAGTCTTCCTCCGACTGTTGAACTTTAAAGACAGCAGCTCCGTCTTCTTCTGCTTTAAACTTCCTACTGGGTATTCTCGCTATTTTACTTCATCTAGCATGATGGTTGTGCTTGAAATTCACTACAATCAATTTTATGTACAATCAAAAGGTCACTTCTTGTGAAACCTCTCAAACATCTGATACAAAAAAATTTCCTACGAGTATTCTTGCTCTGTCCACATAATAGTTTTGATAGATTTTCTACCCAGACCCAATGGCTCGTCCTGTCGTTTTCCACCAGCAGAATGTTGATGCACGTCTCACTGTCAGGATCCTCACAATGTCTGATCGGGTAGAATCCCTGGTGAAGTTCATGCGGTTTTCCTGTTGCAATCGTCCCATCATCCCATCCAAGAACATTGATAGAAACGTTGTTCAACTTCTCAACCTTACCAATCTGAAATAAATAGTGGATGATCATGAGTTGTTTAGCTTGCACAGCCGGCGACATATGATTCTAAGCTAAACTAAACTAGGAAGCCCGGTCACATGCACAGGTAGCTATAGGAAGGTAATAGTAATACTAATAGTACAGCCGATACAAATTTAACTTGCACTGAACACAACGTAATAATCACAAAACCGATCAAAATTTCGCTAGCAAATTTAAGCATCTGCACGTTCAACACCGTTACCATGGTTACTTTGCAACTACCTATTTCTCATCTAATTTGCACGTGGGCGCTCGTGCAGACAGACAAAAACAATTCTTTAATTATTTTAAGCTATATCATGATCATAAGTCTAAGATTAAGGAAGTGGAACATGGATTAGCACCGACTATTGTAGATAATTTTAAAATTGCTGGTAGCACTAATTACAATTCTCACCTCACTGATTGGTGTAGGGAAGCTGATACCGGTCATATTCATCTTCACGGAGCTCTTCTGATAATGAGCAACGCGAGTACGGTTGTAATGCTTGGGAAACTTCAGCTGATCTTTTCAGTTCAGTAAATACACTTTTCAATACGTTGCCAGTTCAGTAAATACACTTTTCAATACGTTGTTGCTCGCTTATCAGTTACTTATCATTACGTTGATAAGACTTGCTTGTCTAACCGGTGCCGTGGTTGTGTGATGTATAAATCTGAGAAATACGTGGCTTATAAGCTTGATGAAGTGAGAGATGATGGAGCTGAATGGATCCGGAAAACTCTCCAGCTTGTTAAATCAAATCATGTTAACGCGTGTGTAGCTCAGGGTTTCATTGGTAGAAGAGAAATCACTAGGGAAGTCATGGCTCAGAGTCTCAATTCTGCGTTAAAAGTTATGTATAGGCAATCATTGTACATTGATCAGATGGAGAAGTATAACCAGAAATTGCACTCCGATGTAATTTACAGCCAGGGGACAATAGTTGTGCAGAAAGAACTGCTAGCTGCCAAAGACGAGCAGCTTGATTACTTGAAATCTGAGGTTGTAGCATCAGTTGAGAATACTGTGAAATCAGAGTTAAAGACATACAGCGCCGCGGTAAAGGAATCAAAAACCTCAACAGCAGGTCCTTTGTTGGATTCGGATAGAAATATCTTGAAGAATGTCATTAAGGATGTTGTAGCAGAAGGAGACCGAAGTCGGAATCTGATGTTGTTTGGTCTTAAAGAAGAGAAAGGTGAGCTGTTATGTGACAAGGTCGGTCAAGTGTTGTTGGAACTTGGTGAAAAGCCAAAAATAGAAGCTAGCAGAATTGGTTTGATCAAATCCAAGGATAAGAAACAGGTGGCTGATAGACCTGTTAAGGTGACTTTGACGAGCTCTACAATCGTGCAGCAGATTTTGACTAGAGCAAGGCATCTCCGTAGC